TGTGTGTGTCTGTATAGGCATAGGCAGGTGAGTATAGGAGTACATGCGCAGATGTACAATGTGCTATAGAATAGACAGGGGTCATTTTGCATTTTTGTGCAATGGAAGGGTGTATGTATTAGCATTCTGTTAGGGAAATGCCGCGTATTAATGGCTTCTTTCGATATTATTATTACTGGTCAGTCACTCGTCTCAACTGGTCATCTTTCAAGGGTAGGAACGCCTTTTTCTTCCACCTGAAAATACAGTAGTACTACTAATCTATGAAGTGCTCTTTTTTTTATTAGCAAAAGTAATTTTTCAAAGTTTCTCAAACATTGTATTGAAAAGATCAATAAATGATGTATCGTGCTTTGGTTACGAATATTTTTTTGTGATCAACAAAGCATGACATATGCGCTTATGATTTTTTCTTCTGTGTGCAATTTGAGCATACTGTGATTAGTATCTGCCACTCTCATCAAACTTTTTCATTCAATCAATATTTTATATCTTTTTTTTTTACTCCATATTCGCTGATTTTCTCCAATCATCCTTATGACCATCACTAATGATATGTTATCTCGTTGTTGATTCTGCAATGATCATCGTTGCCTATTATCAAATATACATAACGTATTTCGTAAGATATTAAAGATGGAAGATACGATGAATTACTCATGCGGATGTCATTAAACACGAATGATTTGAATGGATTTACAAAGGTTAAACTATTTCATGCGTTGGACGAAGTTGTCGGCTGCGTTATCTTTACATATAATGGTGAGCCTGCCATACGTCCTATACGTCAAATCAGATTTATTTTCAGTTAACATGATGATATTTTCTTTTCATTTTTGTATTCATCAGAATCACTTTTAGAAAGATAATCCTTGAGAAGTCAAAAAAATTGTTAAGGAAATCTCTTAATATTGCATGATGATAGAGTCATATTTTTGACTTGTTACGTGTTTTACATTTAGAAATACGTGAACGCTAACTAATAGAAGACAGTTTTTATTGTCATTTATTATATATTAACATGTCAAAGCTCTTTCTCTCCCTTCCTTCCTTACACAAACTATGGAATGTTGTTGGCATATGCAAAATCATTTTTTTCTGCGAAAGTATCGGGGAATTCGACGTTTTTTGATGGTACTACGTCGAACGCACTTTTTGATTCATTGCAAGCGCTGATGATAAATGCTACCGTAGGACAGAAGAGGAAAGTGAATTGAGCGGAGAGAGAAAGCGATGATGAGATGGATGGATGGATTGGATGATGACGATGGCGACGTTGACAATGGGTCTCATGAATGGATGGATATGTAAATGGACAGGTATATAGTACAATAGTAATAGTAGTGATAGTAGTAGGATGTTAATTATAGTTGACGCAAAAAGTTCACTTCATTGACACTATTTCACGCATATTTATGAATGAGTGGAATGTATGGCAGTCTTTCTTGACATTGTTTCTTTTTTTTTTATTTTGTTAAGATTGCAAGGAATTGGTAGTGGTGGGTGGGTGTCATTGATGTGTAAAATTTCATTGATTCTCACTTCAGATTTAGTTTCTTAGCAAAAGCGGTAAGAGGGATGATGTTATGTGGGAAGAAGCTTACGATAGAGAGTGTTATTGGATGGTTGCGGAAGTACATCTCAGAGTGAAACATTTCAATCTGTGAGTGTCATCAAATTATTACACTGTCGAAGCGCAGTTAAGCATTGATGGCAGGCAAACAGCGAAGTAGCTTCTCGGCAATTTATATGAGACGGTTTGTGGCTATGGGGACGATGACTGTCGTCAGCTGTCGTCCCGGTGGGCTACCGCTACCGAACCCCACCCATGAGAGCACATAATATAATATATATATATATATATATATCAGCCACCATCATCACCATCAAGACCGCTTCTCTTTCCTCTTCCTGTCCTTTTTCCTATTTCCTCCTCTACAAGCTTCTATCATTTTCCACTGCATCACATTCTTCTGATTGGAGCAGAATAGAACAGAATAAATCTGTTACTGCTAAAAGGCTAACTTCTTAACTTATTTGTTATTATTGTTGTTGTTGTCTCGTGGATTGCTGCTATCCATGTCCAACATATTAATCTAATGATCTCCAGTTTAACCTTACTTGCTACTTATTGCTCTTATCATCTCCTTGTCGTACATGCATCCAATTATTATTGTACGTTTCTCACCTTCCACTATCACTTTGCTTATTTTCACTTTTCAACTTTTTCGTTCCGTTTCATTTTTCTTAGCACTATCCCTCTTTTCAAAAATTTGGAGGAAAAAAAAGATAATCAGATTGTTTTGGACGCATCGATCTTCGAACATTTCCGAAAAATTCATCGGTCATGAAGTGCTCAGACTTGTTTATCACATTTTAACAATCTGATTAGCACTAGAAGTCTTCTAATGCTTTTGCTAACAATGCTATGTTTCTGCTTGAATTCATCCTTCATACATATCTTTGCTAACAATACTATTTTTTTGCTTGATTTCATCCTTCACACATATCATATTTGAAACTTTTGGTCCTTCAGAATGTTTATTTTAGGATCTGCATGCGTTTGGATTAAGCTATGAAATTTGCTTATAGTAATAAATTCATTTCTAAAAACATTTTTGTGTTTTTAGAAATGAATGATTCTGAAAACATTTTTAATGTTTGCCTTGCAATTTTGCTTTCGAATTCCAAATTCATCAAATTTTCGTCCATTTAAAAAACGGCCTTCTGAATGAGATATTATTTTCCCTTCCATATTATATAATCAACGGTTACTTGATGTCACTTCAGGATGAACTATGAGACAAGTGAATTCATTCGATGTAGGAATTTCTTGAGGCGCTTTCATACGAAATGTAGTAATAAGTGGGCGGATTACCAGTACCTGGTAGAAGCCAAGATATGAGATGGATGTATGTTTTGTGGAAATATTTAGCTCATTGGGTGAACGGACCGATAAATGATCTTTCGGGCTGCTTTGCGTGGAAGCTATGTACCGACACCATTTGGACCCATTTGTCTCATTTAGTGTGCACTATTCACACACACAGACACACACACACACACACACACACACACACACACACACACACACACGCATACACACATGTCGAAGTTGTTATGGAGGTATTGGAGTGAACGATGGTGGAGTGAAATTTGACGAATGGTTGGATGTTGGTGGTGCTGTCGGTTGTGGGATTCAAGTATGACAGGAGTAGGTAGCAAATGGATAAGCTGAAGGAAGAGCGCCTCTGCGTCATACATACGTACACATTTGTCGTTGGCATTTTAGGTGTGGAGAGGAAGTGGGGGCGACTCGTTTTCGAGAGTGGAAGCAGGGAGAAGAGGACAACAACTGTCCGGAGCAGAGTACTGCTTCAGGGAGGAAAAGCCAATTGGAGGTGAGACAACTGTCCCAACCCAGAAACCTTCCTTCGTCCGATTTGCTAGTTAACAATCATTCATATCTATACACAACCACGTCCTCTTCCATTCCACCTGTTCCACCTCAAATCTTGTCTTCCTACTACTTCAAAGCAAGTATGCCATTATAGTGGGGGTTGTTATTTACAGTGTTTTAACTGTAAATGAAATCACTGACCTCTCTCCTCTCAAACAGCAGTATGTTTTCATTCAAAGAATTAAACTACTCAATTGCAAAAAAATGCATGAATTTTAATCTCTCAATACTAAACATTATTTATTACTTAACCTCATCACTTGTCACATTTGAGTTTCTCTTCCATAGTGCTAGCGGATATGCCGCACAATTTCTCTTTTATAGCGTTAGCACGCACGTGAATTGTATCCTTGTTATGAGAAGGCAAAAGAAGGGGAATAATTGTGAATCGTAATTAAGATCTTAATATCGATGTAAATGTAAAAAAAATTAGTGCATTTCGTGAAGTGGCTTAAAAATAAATGTTGAATATTGAAAGATATCAGTTATAAAATTGCTCTTATTCCATTTAATACGGAAATGTTGAATAGGAAAGAAGGAAGGGTACATTCAAATAGTTAAATGAATTGAGTCAGATGATCATAACATATTCCTGATATCAATCAAAAGGAATGATGCAACTGTATATCATTGATGATTGATATATTGATCTCATTACTTCCATTCTCTTACGATGAAAAAGATAGTATTAATGATGAGTAAATGTAAGCAACGTTGATATGACATTTGGACAGAAAATGTTTCCACTAAAATTGTCATCAGCTAAAATTTCATCAACAACCACTGTTCCTATTGTTTACTCCATCAACAGTGATCATTTTACATCATAGCTTTACATTACGGATACTCAGTTGTCCATCATATTTGTAATACGATGGACCTTTACGTTTGCGCTTATAGTGAAAGCGACGAGAAATATCATGAACTTTTGTTTACGAGTATGTCTACATTTACTACTTCTCTAGCGGAGTATATATATTATATATATATATATATATCATGTATGTATGTATGTGTGTGTGTGTGTGTGTGTGTGTG